ATTAATGTTGAAGCTTGCATGTCTATTAAGTCAGTTGAGTATTTATATAAATATGTCTATAAGGGGCATGATTGTGCTCATGTGTTAATTAATGAAAGTCTTGACCATGATGAAATTAACACATATTTAGATTGTCGCTTTGTTTCTGCACCAGAGGCTCTTTGGCGAATATTTGAGTATTCCATAAGTGATATGTCACATACTATTATCCGCCTTCAAGTCCACCTTCCTGATAATCAGAGGGTATATTTTAACGAAGGAGAAGAACAAGTAGCTATAGATCGTGCTGCACAGCGTGACACTCACCTAACCGCTTGGTTTAAATTAAATGCTGAGATAAATGAAGCACGTCAGTATTCTTATGTTGAAATTCCGTATCACTTTGTTTTTGATGGTAAAAATTGCAAGTGGAAAGTAAGTAAAGAGGCAGTGATAAGGTGATTGTGCGAATGTATAAAGTCAATCTAACCAGTGAAGTATTTTTTCTTAGATTGTTGCTTTTGCATGTAAAAGGTGCAATGTCTTTTGAGGATTTGCGTACTATTCATAGCACTGTTTTTAATACATTTCGTGAAGCATGTTATCGATTAGGTCTATTGCAAGATGACATTGAATGGAGAAATACATTAACTGAAGCTGTACCAACTCGAATGCCTAAACAAATTAGGCAACTGTTTTCCATCATATTGACTTTATAAGAACCTGATGATCCTTTACACCTTTGGAATACATTTAAAGATTATATGATTGAGGATTACATACACCATTCAATGCCAGTTGTACTTGCTGAACAGACTGCTCTTCGTCAAATTGAATCTATAATTAATCAGAGTGGTAAAACTTTAACTGATTATAATTTGCCTACATTAGATCAGTTATGAGATAATGTCCTAGAAAATGATGATGGAGATATTCAGGTATTTATTGATGAAGCAAATCGAGTTAGACCATTATTAAACGATAATCAGCGTAATGTAGCTGATGCAATCCTTGCTGCACTTAGTGAAGAACCTAATAATGAAAATAAGCATTCAAGATTTTTCTTTATGGATGGGCCTGCCGGTTGTGGTAAAACATTTACTTACAATTATTTAATTGCTGAAACACGCAGCAGGCATATTAGAACTGCAACAGCTGCATGGACAGGAATAGCTGCAACTCTTCTTAAGAATGGATGCACATTGCACGGCTTATTCAAACTTCCTGTTCCAATTTCGGAAACTAGCACATGTAATGTAACTCCAAACTCCATTCATGGTAGATTCCTGAGACAAGTTAGTTTATATTTACTCGATGAAGCATCTATGATACCCAAACATGCTTTGAGTACCATTGATAAGTTATTACAAGATATTTGTAATAATAAGTTTCCTTTTGGTGGTAAAGTTATTCTTATGGGCGGAGATTTTCGACAAATACTTCCAGTTGTGAAGAGAGGTCGACCAGCAGATGTTGTAGAATCATGTATAAAGTGTTCTGAACATTGGCAATATGTGCAAAGGTTTTCATTAACTGAAAATATGAGGGTTCAGATAGGAGAAGAGGAATTTTCTCAATGGCTTTTAAAGCTTGGAAGTGGAACATTACCTGTCAAGCCTGAAGATCCTTTGCAAGGGTGTATTGAAATACCTGAGCAGTGTTTTCTCAATGATAATGAATCTATTGTGGAAAAGATTTTTGGTGGTGCAGAAGAAGCTGATTATGCAAAACGTGCTATTTTAACACCAACAAATGTTGATTCATTGGCAATAAATGAACAAGTCGTTCATCAATTACCGGGTGATGTTAAAACTTATTTAAGTTCAGATAGCATTGAAACTGATGATCATAATGAAATTTATAATTTTCCAGTTGAGTTTTTAAATACTTTGACTCCATCAGGTATGCCTGTTCAATGCCTAAAGTTGAAAATTGGTGCTGTTATAATGCTACTTAGAAATTTAGATCTCAAAGGTGGACTTTGTAATGGAATACGTTTGATGGTGCGTGCACTACAAAACAATTACATTGATGGTGAGGTTCTAACAGGTGTATCAGCTGGTAACAGGGTATTTGTTCCTCGAGTTCAATTAGCTTCATCAGATTCAAATTTACCTTTTACACTTAAACGTCGTCAATTTCCAGTTAGGCTAGCATACTCAATGACCATAAATAAAAGTCAAGGTCAAACATTTGATAAAATTGGTGTTTATCTCAAAAAGCCTTGCTTTTCACACGGCCAATCAGGGTTAGGGTTAGGGTTAAGGGTTATAATGTTGTGTTTACAAATGTTCTTAATTTATAATTTTGACAAGTTTCTTTATGTTTTTTTTCTTTGCTATATATGTTTATATATGTGAATATATGTTTTTACTTATATATAGATGTTTGTGTTTGTATATGTTTGTTTATATGTGTTTAAGTTTATATTATGTTGTTTCCATGTTTGAAAAGTGGTGTTACTTGGCAACGTGTAGTGCAAGATTGTGATCCTTGCCAGCCAAGTGGTTTTACTAATTAGTGGTGTTACGTGGCACTTAATGCCAAGCGGTGTTACTAAATTGTGGTGTTACTTGGTAGCGTTTAGTGCCAAGCGGTGTTACAAGTGTTGAGCTAGGTTGTGTTGTCTAGCTTTTTTAATTATTTTGGAAACACATAATATCTGAATACATTGTGTAATGTGTACTTACAAACGTCATATGTTATGTATTATTCAGTAGCGTAGGCAGGATTTTTTGATGCTTCAGGTTTTACTTTTATTTTCAGACTCTTTCATTACTTTCAGACTCTTTCATTACTTTCAGACTCTTTTATTACTTTTATTACTTTCAGACTCTTTAATTACTTTCAAACTCTTTCATTACTTTCAGACTCTTTCAACTAAACTTAATTGTGTTCATGTTTGTCAAATTCAAATAATTTGTAAAATATGGATGTGGTTGGGGCTTGAAAACAAATATGTTTTAAAAAGGTTTGCTTTCCTCCCTTGAATTTAGCTGCCAATTAGTTAAAAAAGTATTTTTTTTAAGCATATAATAATAATCTTATTCATTAGCAGGTTTTAAATTTCTTATAAAACAACAAAAGTCCTGCCTACACCACTGGTGTTTTTGTTTGTCATTGTGTAATGTTTCTGTTGTGACGTTTTGTGTTGATAGACAGTTTGGCTTACCTTCACGCTGGTGTCTATCGTTAAAAACGATTATTAGCTAGCTTCATTACTGAAACTACTCCTTCTAATCATTCACTAAAAGCCAAGAAATATTTTTTTGAATAAATGCCTAATTTTTTTATCTCACTGTGACTTTTTATCTTTAGCATTGTTGATAAAATAGCTTTTTAAATAAAGAGTGTTTCCAGCCTTCCAATCAAATACTAGAGACTTCCACAAAAGCGATCTCACAAAGTAAGTTTCTTATTTAGTGTTTGATAATTGACTAAGTTTCGTCACCTTTTATATTTTTTTTTACATCTTATTATGTAATTTTTCAACATTTAGACAACTTTTAAATAACTTTAAACAACTTTTATATGTGTATTCAGTGTTTTATATAACAATATTTTTCTTCATTTTATAGGCAGATTTCCTGTTATAACTGGTTTAAAAATTGTTAATCGTTAATCATTTTTTAAAAGCGTTTACTTTTTCTAAAGACGTATTACTAATCTTCATACCATTTACTAAAAGCTATCATCTCTATATATTATTGCCGAACTTAATAGTGTTAGTAGCGCTCTTTCGAGCGTGTTTGACAAACCCATGGCAACTATTGCAACCAAAGTAATGGCGAGGAAGAGTCTCAGCACTTTTTGATAAGTAAACGTGAACAAAAGTGTATGCAAATATCTAACTTACGTAAACTTCAAAATATGAAATGTTAAAACATACAAAACATGTCAAGTTTTACAGTTTTACTTTCACTTAAAAACAGCATTGCGGCAATGTTTCTTTTTGTAATGTTTTTCTAACGGTTAACAAATAAAAGCAAATCGGAGATACATCAACTGAGGGTTTAGGTTTAGGCAGGCATTCTTTTAAATTAAAGAAAAGAGTTTTGATACTTATTTAAATAGGGTTAATAAAATATTTTAAATTATATATATTATATTTAAAAATTATAAAACTAAATTACATATGATTTTTAGATGAAACAGTAAAAATAATTGTTTAAAATACGTGCGTGCAAATAATTCCTACCAATACTAAACGTAAAAAAACGCTTACAAACACCAAAAGTATATTTACCGTGAATAAAATTAAGTTCAAAGAAAAATTGGAAGAAATGTTTGAAACTGTTTCAATAATAACATTTATTTTTAATTATTTTTGTTGTAAGTTGGGATGAAAAAAAAGGTCACTGGAATATGAACTCCCGGGGTGAGATGACTATATCTGTCTAAGTGTTGCGCGGCTACCAATTAGCCCATAAACGTATTCTCTATTTAGAATTTGAGATAATTTATGACGCATAAGAAGTGTAATTAAAAATTCAAAACCAAGTTTGGAACAACTGAATTTAAAAAAAATCTAATTAGATGTGTATATGTTATGAACGTTAACTAAGGCGTACTTTAACGGCATCACGTGCTGAATGTTTTAGCATTTTTTAAAGTTTGTAGTCTTTTTTACGTTTTTTCTTATTAAAATCTTTATAATCGGCATATTATTAAAAGCGTTTAAAGTTTTTTAAAGAACATTATAACGTTATATAATGAAATTTTTTTGTCATATCAAAAAGTAAGTATAGTTTTTTATATGTACATAGTTTTTAAAACGGTTTTAAAAAAATATTGAGGTAAGGAATAAGTATAGAAAAGGTCGGTGTGGAATAGATTTACTAAGACCCTTATTTTACGTCCTGATAGCTATAGAAATGATCAGATAAGTATAAAAATGGTCGGTTCGGTAAAGACCCGTATTTTACGGGTCCGCCCAGCTAGTAAATATATATTTAAACAATTTAAAATGAAATCTACAAAAAGAGTGCTCAATGTTCTTAAAAGAACAGAGCAATTACAAATTAGTAGAAAATCACTTAGCAAAATTTTTTCTCATTTAACACTGCGTTTCATCAATAAAACTCATCAGAAATCTGATTTTGTTAAATCTGTGTTTCATCAATAAAGACTCATCAGATTTCTGATGAGTCTTTATTGATGAAACACAGAGAAAAAATTTTGCTATGTGATTTTCCTCTAATTTATATATATATATATATATATATATATATATATATATATATATATATATATATATATATATATATATATATATATATATATATATATATATATATATATATATATATATATATATGTATATAAATACATATATTTATATGTTATATCTTATATCTTTTGTTTACGATTAAATATATAAATATATTTGTTCGTAAACAAAAGCAGCATTGTAAAAAGCTGTTGTACCACCACTCTTAAAGCCTAAGGTTGGTCATGTTTCACAATTTCCTTTGGAATATATGCATCTTGTATGTCTTGGTGCGACTCGAAAACTGTTATTGTATTGGCTTTATGGCTCTCGAAATATTAAGATAAGCATTGTTAACGCTGATACTATATCCAATGAGATGTTTTGCTTGGTCAATTGTATTCCTTGTGAGTTTCTCAAAAAACCACGTGCTCTTAAAAAAATAAGTCGTTGGAAAGCCACTGGGTTTAGACTTTTCTTATGTTATGTTGGGACAGTTGTTTTAAGAAACCACTTACCATCTAAATTTTACCATCTCTTTATGCTTTTGAGTGTTGCTATTTCAATACTAGCTAATCCTGATACTTATGAAGTTTACTGTCATTATGCTGAAAAATTACTTATTATGTTTGTTAATAAGGAGCTTTATTATGTTTGTTAAGGAGCTCTCTAGTTTGTATGACAATAGTTCGCTAAGTTACACTATGGACAGTCTTATTTATATATGTGTCGACGTTAGGCTTTTTGGTGCTCTTGATAGTTATATCGCTTTTCAATTTGAGAATATGCTAGGAAAAATGAAAAAAATGGTAAGAACTGGTAAATTTCTACTCAGTTAATTGTGTTATCGTTCATCTGCGCAAAAATTTTTTATTTTTAATAAACCACTATCATTAGAAACTGAACTGTTTTATTAATTGGACTATTGTGTTTTATAAATTGAACTATTGTGGTGAGTTTTACAACTCACCACAATAGTCTAACTCTAGCATTTACACGTATACAATATAAACAAGTTAGTTATGCTGTTTTTCTTTTTTCTTTAGAAAAAGCAAATAGATGTGCTTTATTGAATGATGGGAAAGTTAACCTTAATGTCTTCAAAGTTGATCAATTGTCTGAGTAATATTCATACTTTCTATTGAAGTCAATCTATAAAAAGTGTTTATTGCTGCAGAGAAAAAATTGTTTTATTGCTTTTCCTTTTCTTCATTGTCAAAAGTTTATGTAAGACTTTTATTATCAACATTTTCTAAATATATATCATTAGGTAACTTTCATATATATATATTAGTCGGTAAAGACATCGAATATTATATTTAAAAATAAATGACATTTTAGTTTTATATTATTTACCAACTCACATTGTTTCTAATAAAATTATAATTTGTGACGTTGCTTGTTATAAATCAAAATATAATAAATTTCACCTGATATTATTATATTCTACAAATATAATATAAAAAAATTAGTTTTCATACTAATGCTTTAAGGTTTAATATAGCCATGCTTTATTTTTAAAACAAAAAATTTTATTGTTTTTATTTTTAAAATTTTTCTTTTTCTTTTGTATTGAATTTTAGAAATACAGAAAATCTTAGCAATTTTATTTTTGAAGCTTTAATATTTTTAAAAACTTTTGGATTTTTATTTTAGAATAAGATTTTTTTTCTTTTTTTTTTTTAAGTTTTTGAGTCTACTTTATTCATTAAACGCTTTCAAATCTTTCAAAGCAAAAAACTGGACCAATATTGGCGCAATATTGCGGACCAATATTGCGCCAACATTGTTTGCTACTAGGGTATATATATGCGTATATATATATGCGTATATATATGCGTATATATATGCGTATATATATACATATATATATATATATATATATATATATATATATATATATATATATATATATATATATATATATATATATATATATATATATATATATATATATATATATATATATATATATATATATATATAGAAAAAAGAATTTTATGAAAATTTATTTCCAAATAATATTGAATACAACGTTTTGCCAATTAAAATTCAACGCTAAATCAATGCAAATACAACGTTGAAGCTACATAAAATACAACGTTTTGCAAACTAAAAATACAACGTTGGGCCAACTTATAAAACAAAACGTTAAATCAACGTATAAAATATAACCATTTTTCGACTTTGAATAAACGTTTTATCAACATTGGTTTTTAGTTGTTGGCGACGTCGCATTTGTAACCATAATGATATAAAAGCAACGTTGGAAGTCGATGTTGGGCCGATAGAACGCGCGACATTCTTCTATT